ACGATAAAATAAAGAATAAAAAAAAGAAAAGAAGAAAAAGAAAAAAGAATGAAATGAAGAAAAAATAAATAAAACTGCAATTTTTCTAGATTTATTTACCTCGACTCATATTGTTAAATCATTGAAAACAAAAATTAAATTAAAATAAAATAAATTTCATTGCAAACAGAAAAAAAAGCATCAAAATTAAAAAAAAACTTTTAATTAATTTTCAATATTTTCAATAAATATTTTCCATCGTTTTTTAAAAAAACTAATAATTTTCGTCCGGAAACAAAAATCCTCGGAAATTTTTCAGGTTTTTCGGAAATTCATACAACATTTTTTCAGGTAAAAGACAAAAAAATCTTGGGTCGAAAAATAAAAATTTCTAAAATTATTTGCACAAAAATCAGAAATTTCTTCTTTTATTTCCAATTTTTGAAGAATTTCTCCATATTTATTCCAGACAATGATTCTTGAATTGCCCTCTCTTGTCCCTCACAAATTCCCAGTCGTCGGATCGGGACGAAGGAGGCGGTAACCATCCTTCCTTGGCGCCCCACCCGAGGGTGGATTGTTTTTATCTCTTCATTAAAACAAACAATTTCTTGAAAATTCCGATTACAAGCGAAAATTTTTTCTGAATTTGACACAAAGAAAAAAATTCATTTTCTTTTGTGTCAATTATTTTTTGCGGTTAAAAATGGCGGAGATTTTTGTCGTGTCTAAAAGAAAAGTCAACCCCACCCCAGCAGAACAACAAACAATCAAAATGTCTTCAGTGGGGCGACACATATCCAGGGAGGCAGAATCTCTCTTCGCCGTCCGTTAAGGAACATCGGTTGACCAATTCTCCAGAGTCACCAAATTCTAGGATTGATCCACTGTCCCCATCACCAACAAATACATACTAACTCAGCATCCTGGGCGGATCATATGCACCCATAGGGAAATCAAAGTTGTCATTATGGCACTTCGTCCAGATGGAATTGTTAAGAGTTAAAAGTAATTTCCTTGCTGTTAGGATGATATTAGTCTCCTTATCAATGATCTCCAAGTAGGTTTTTTTTTTTTCACAGTTAATGCAATTTATCAAAAGATCCATGGAGATAGATGAGTAGAAATCTATAAAATCAAATTTGATAAAGGTAGCTCTTTTCTTATTTTCAATATTGACAAACCATTTGATTGTGTCCAACGAATCGTTCAAGAAATTATTACAAGGTGTAACTAGAATTTTATCGGTTATTTTGATTATATTTTTTTAGATTAGACCTAGTCCAGTTTTTGTTGGATTTATTAATCAACTAGACTGCATGTTATTAACGAAGTTAGGTTTATGATTCTTAAATAATGGACCATCCCACTATATCTGCAATATCTAAATTATTTGCCAAATCGCCAGCCTCTTGGTCAATTCCGGAGATCATTCTGTTATATCAGTTTAGTTTGTACGTGTTTATTGACATTTAGAAAAACATATGAAAGTATTTTTCAAAAATAATATCCGATAATACATTTCACCTCTATGGCTTCATAAGCTTGATAACGAAAAAATGTTTGTTTTGTATCATTTGTGTGCATTTAAAATAATTAAATCTTATATTATTTTTCCCTAAACTGGCATTGCTCGAGAAATAAATACACAAAATACACTTTTCTTTATCTATTTGCAGTATTACGAATTATTTTTGAAATATACATTCATGAATTTTTTTCAAATATCAATAGGTTAAAAACTCTGTCGGGATAACATACCCAAATTTATTACACACACACACACGCACACACACACACACACACACACACACACATATATATATATATATATATATAAACGTAAGTATTACTGTCTTAGTTTATAAGGATCCTTTGAACATGTTGACCTGTGTCCACAATTTCAGTATAAACACGTACGCCACTGTAGATTGCATAAAATGGTTTGAGAAAACAAGAGAGAGAGAGAGAGAGAGAGAGAGAGAGAGAGAGAAAGAAAGAAAGATGAAAAGAGAAAAGCATATATGCAGATATAGAGCTATGTGGGTGTGACCCTATTTTTTCATTGGTTGGACTGCAAATATTTTCACTGCTCAACTGACGACGTTTTTGTAAACTTGTCTTTGTAAGTTTTCTGATCTGTTCGACTTGTCTTGCTTGATCGAATTGCAAAGAAAATTCACGTTTATGTAACCAGTGAAATGTTAGTCATCCAATGTTTATACACACACACATATATATATATATGTGTGTGTGTGTGTGTGTGTGTGTGTGTGTGTGTGTGTACATAAATTTATATGTATGTTCGTGTTTTATATATATATATATATATATATATATATATATATATATATTTGTGTGTGTTTATTACACTCCACACCATCATCATGGCGTATCATTTCTTAACGTCATTTGTTTTCATATTCTAATAATTTTTTTTATTTTATACGACTGAACTAATTTTTTTTTATTTTACTATTTTTTATATTAAATAACAAGAAATAAAATATACAAGAAAGAACTTTATCTCTCCTGCATGACTTCTTCTTCTTTTTCTTTCTTTTTCTTTTTCTTCTTTCTTTTCTTCTTTCTTCTTCTTCTTTCTTCTTCTTTCTTTTTTTTTTTTTTTCTTCTTCTTCTTCTTCTTCTTCTTCTTCTTCTTCTTCTTCTTCTTCTTCTTCTTCTTCTTCTTCTTCTTTCTTTTCTTCTTTCCTCTTCTTCTTCTTCTTCTTCTTCATTCTTCTTCTTCTTTCTTCTTCATATTCTTCTTTCTTTTTCTTCTTTCTTTTCTTCTTTCTTCTTCTTTCTTCTTCTTCATTCTTCTTCTTCTTTCATCTTCTTTTTCTTCTTCATTAGTCTCAGCACAAAAGATATTTCTGCATTAGAAATTACTGGCTTAATTTGTCAATGCTGGAGATCTATCTATCTATCTTTCTGTCTGTCTGTCTGTCTGTCCTCAATTTCAATTTAGACGCGTCTAAATTGAAAGTGAGGACAGACAGACAGATAGATAGATAGATAGATAGATAGATAGATAGATAGATAGATAGATAGATAGATAGATAAGTAAATGGATGGCAGAATAGTGTTTAAGAGAGATCGGTAAAAGACACTTATTATGATAGCTACAAAAGACAGGAAAGTGTGGAGGGACATAATCTACAGGGTTGTAAAAGGCTATGGCACATCGAAGAAGAAGAATGAGCGTCAATAAATGTATGGCAGAACGGGGTTTAGGAGACTTTTTATGAAGAGAGATATAAAGGAGAGGAAATTGTGGAGAGCCATGATTGCCAACGTATTGAACGGACACGGTACATAGAGGAAGAAAGAATGAGTGTCAGTCAATGGATGGCGGAAAGGGGTTTAGGAGATAGAACAAAAAGACATCATTTTATGAACAGTGCTATAAAGGAGAGGAAATTGTGGAGAGCCATGATTGCCAACTTCACCCCAAGCAAGGCAGAAAAGCCGCTAAGATGCAAGGGGGGGTTACTGGGTGTGGTAGAGTTAGATAAGGGAAACATAACTAAGGTGTGAGAACAATAGAGGAGGAATGAAAAAGTCAGTAGATTGTGATTGACATTGCATTTAAATTTTTGAAGCAGCAGGCGAAACCGTATGCCTTCAACAAACTTGCACAACGGTACTACGATCGTACAATGAAAAATGGTGTGACCCAGGGTCTCCCCTTCCCCATCAGAGCGAACGAAGTTTGAAGATTTCTCCAAGATTCTCCAAGAAGAAAACCTTTTGTCGAACAGAGGACCCAGCCAGGTGAGTGATGTCTCATCGTTATTGCGACATTTCAACCCGGACGCCGATGGCCATATTGAGCGAACCTTCTGCTCCCTAAGACCGAACTTATCTTACTGGCACGTCCGTCCAGAGGAAAGTTATGGGATGAGAAACTCCCTTTCGCGCTCCCCCCCACCAATCCGTAAGCCAACAGACTTACCGTGGTTGATTTTATGTCACCGTCTCGTAACCTCTGATTTCATCACTGATTCCATCAATCTCTGTTCTACTCGACACACAAACCGAAACGCCGTCAGCTGAAGTGGTAGCCCCAGTTAGGGAAATTCCACGTAGGACCGGATTCGTCTTTAACTTTCCAAAGAAAGGTTCCAATGCAAGAACGTAAAGCAAAAGCTGACAACATTGAAAAATTTAGCTATGAAGTCTTGCATGCATTAATTTCATTCATTTTTATTAATAACTGCGTTTATTTCTTTCCAGATAAACTTGATCAAATTCTATGAGAGTATCTTGGTCAACCTTTGACCTTTTCAGCTGACTCTCGTATATAAATAGTCGAACCAAAATACTCAATGTTGACCTCAGTTTCCATTTTTATACTTACATGACCTTTAACCCTGATATTGAGCACGTGGACATAAATATAGCATTAAAAACTAAGGCCAAAAGTAACATGAAAGAAAATCTTCATCGCACTAAGCACCCGAATTTACCAAAGATAATATTTAGTTAAATGCTGTTGGAAAAAAACTGGTGGAATTTTTCGTTTTAAGATCAACACTCCGAGTTCCAGTTCGATCAATCGATAGAATACATATGTGGGTACGGGTTTTACACGTGTAACGCATATACCACACGAACTTCGTCGATCCGTTTAACTTTAGGGCCACCACATCTAATTCTTGAGCCCCCAACTAGGCTTCTCAGCATAAGAAAGTTAATCAAGGAGAAAGAGACAGACAGACAGACAGACAGACAGACAGAGAGATAGACAGACAGAAGGAAAGATATGTAGACAGATCTAGGCAGGTGTGGCCATATTTTTGGCTTTAGTCAGGGTAGAAATTACAAGCGACTGGTCGTTATGACCCAGTGATTCCCAGGCATTTTTCCTATGAAGAATCCAATAAAAACAAAATGAATGCTCTTCTAGATAAACATGGGTCGATTTAAATTTCCTTCTTTTGTGCGATATTGAAACAAGAAAACATTTCAAATTTAATAATAATATTTCGGCCTTTATTGATACGATTATATTATAAATGTTTTCAGTAAAGTATAATTTCTCGTAATATTGAAAGATGTTTATGTTCATGTCTCTTCTTCCCCCCAGATTAAATCATCTTAAATTTATATCACAAACCTCATTCAGTATCCCTCTGCATTGAGTGGCTCTTAAATCTTTTGCTGGAGGAACTTGAGTAAAACAAAATAAATGAAATAAAACATGAACTGATCTATACTAATATATATAAATGTGTGTGTGTGTGTGCTTGTTTATGTGTCTGTTGATTTTTAAAATATTGCTCTATAATCGAAAACACAACATTATCAGAAAACATGGCTGGTAAATTTATTAAATTTCAAAATGATTGGTAATTTTCTAAAATTTCTTTTGCAAGACTTTTCGTAAATAAAGTCATAAAGCCTAAATTCCTAAAATCCAACAAAATATTAGATAGTTTAGAATATTTTCTTAATTTTTTTATAATACAGGGTAATTGACAAATTAATTAAACAAAAAAGAGGCCTTCACATTCTATTCATCAAGTAATTTTTACAGTCATGCACTCCTTACTTAAATTTCCCAAAACTCATGTTGTTGATAGATCTGTAAAGACCTCACAAAAACACCCACTCATTATTAAAAAAGAATTTATCGATTTTTACTGACAATCAAAAACAATGATTCAAATCAATTTAAATTCAGTTTGAAATGCAGCAAAGTATATCACTTATTGCAAATTATAAATTGAATCTATTAGCTTGGAATTAAAAAATAAAATAAAAGCTTCAAGAAAGATTTTTTCATTTTTTTTAAAATGCATTGCAACATTTTTAGGTACCCCCCTTTTTTACATAATATTTTTATTCCATTATCAAAGAAGTGTTTAAATAAAGAATTAAATCCTAGGTCATGATCATAAAAAATAAATAAAATTGATTATAGTATCAAAAATAATTATCATTAATTCATCCATTCTAAACCAATGAGAATCGACCCAACTTTTCTCTACTATACACACGAACACTTGGCATTCTCCCTATCAGACAAGCAGTTCTCACGGACTAATCGTTAACACGTGCGTCAAAGAAAATTTCACCACCTTTTCGTTTCCAGGACATGATAGTAACATTTTTAGCAATTGGAGGTAAGAAAACCTCAGACACATCTTGCATTTTTCCAACAAAATTATCTGGACACTCTACACACAGGTAAAAAAAAAAACATACGAGAAAGCCTGTATACGTTTTTTACTTATTATTTATCTTCTGTTGAATTTCGATCCATATTTGATCTACATTTAACCCTAAACTCACAATTTTACTCAGTATTATTGTCTCTCGTCTCTCCAACTCCACAAACAAATAATAAATGATACTCGTTTTCTTGTTTCCATATCTTGCTCTTTCTCTATTTTACAAGTATTTTTGTGTATATAAATGTTAGGGGTTTTATAATAAATTTACTCACAGATATAAAATCCCCTACACGAGTTTCAAATTTCTGATGTAAAAATTGACTTAAATATTTATTTCTCAAAATTTCACCGTCAAAACCGATTTTCACTTTTTCTCTTCTGCAATTAGGAAATTAATTTTGAATTATATTTTTTAGCTTTCAATTTGAAATATAAATTAATGTTACCCCGGATTTTAATTCCGATTAAATGCGCTGAACTGTATTTTTAAAAATTCTATAATTTTGAATTTATTTTCGCGTCTATAATAAATAAAATCGTAACTAAAAAAAAAATGAATAATAAAAAGTAAATTTAAAAGAAGAAGATTAAATACAATAATTTGATAAAATATTTTGAGTGTGTTCGGCTAAAACTTAAAAACTACAATAATTAACGTGTGTGTGTGTGTATTATTGATTTATTAATAGTTTTCGGCCATCTTATGGAAAATTATTTTTATTCAATCTTTAAAAAATAAACTATTAGTCCGACTAATGTACATAATACTGTACAAAATACGTCATCTCAGAAATATAGACAGACTCCAAAATATAGTTAAATTAGTAAAACGAATATTCAACACGACTAATGTTGAAGTCATGTCTGTCTCTGTTAATTTTTATTTTTAACTAAAGTTTGGTTTCTTTTTTCAAATAGAAATATAAATTGAAATTTACAAATAATCGCTTTTCAAAACTAAAATTCTCAATGTATCTTGCTTCTACTCTCTTTCAAAATAATAATTAACTTCATTTATAGAGAAATATTTGCTTCTTTAATGTAATAATGTTTAAAAGTAAAACTTTATTTAGTTAAAAAAAAATGTAAATTCCCCTAAAAAATAAACAGTAAATTAATTATTTTTCGAAGAAGTAAAGTTCGCTATGGTTTTTGCTTGAGAAAAAATGATTCAATTAAATATGTTTAAAATAAAATAAAACTTAATTTGAGTTTAATTACTTTTTTATTAATAATAATTTGAAAAAAGGTTAATGAACTTTTATGTAAAAACGACATTAACAGAATATTTATATTAGTATTTATATATGAAAAATAAATTGACTTTTTTAGATAAAAA